ATCAGAAACCAGAAGCGGTTAGCTGACGCAGCCGCTCCCAGGAAGACGAATGCTGGCGTCAGGTCAAAGATTTGGTCAGAGGAAGAGGAGCAGAAACTGCGCCAACTAAACCAAGAGTATGCGGGACAAAGACACATTAACAAGCTCTTGATGTCGCAGTTCCCGGGGAAAACACAAAGGCAGATCAGCGACAAGCGTCGTCTGCTCGGCCTGATTGAACCGGCGAACGGGCCAGCGTCTCGAACGAGCGACAGAGCAGTACCCCGCTCACTTGGGAATCAGACAATAAAGCTGCAAAAAGAATCGCCAATAAATAAGATCTTGAAGCCTCAGGTGAAAGTACAGAAATCGTATGACGACGAAGAGAAGAGATGGAGGCAGTGTATGATAGCTTCGGCGACCAGAACACTTGCCAAACACCATGACGAGATGGCGAAGGACGCTAAAATACAGCCTTTGGCAGTCAGGTTAACTGCAATTGCGGGGAGCTTTCGATCTGCTGAAGATGTCATAAGCGTATCTGACCCACTCGTAAAACAACTCGAAAACGTCGTCAACGAACTCACCGTCGAGTTAGCGGGAGGCAAACCCAATCTGCCCCGAAACGGCCAGAGAGGTAAGGCCGCAAACGCTAACCACAGAGCTAGGGGAAGTAGAGACAAAAGACGCCAACACGAGTATGCTACGGTACAACAACTCTGGGAGAAAGAACCGAAACAACTAGCTACGCTAGTAGTGGAGGATCGGCTCTCAGATATCGAACAACGCCGCCAACCTGAACTACCTCCGGGTGATCAGGTAAGAGACCTATATAACGGACTCTGGGGCGTTGGGCGTTGAAGAAACCACATTCTTCCCACCTGATTGGGAAGAGACCGTAGCTACAAGGGTGGGCGTCGTCGATATTAACCCGATACAGCTCGGAACGGTAGAAAAAAGATACCGACGCCTGAAAACGCACACTGCTGCGGGGCCAGACAAAGTGGCTAAGAAGGACATACGCCGAACAGCGCGCATTCTTCTGACTGCGATCTTTAATATCTGCTTGGGGATTGGGTTTTACCCCGAATCCTGGAAACGTAACAGAACAACGCTGATCCCAAAAGATGGCAAGGATCTGACAGTGGCAGCCAGCTGGCGGCCGATTACTGTCAGCTCAATCCTAGCCAGACTGTTCTCGGGGGTGATCGATGAATCTCTTAGGGGAAACATCGAGCTAAGCCGAGCACAAAAAGGATTCACGCATGACGAGGGAGCGGCTCAGAACGTCTCCCTCTTTCGCCAAACGTTGAAAGCGATGAAGGAGGAACAAGGTGGAACTTGTTCCATACTTGACATTTCCAAAGCCTTCGACACAGTGCCACATGGTGCATTAGTACCGGCGCTCAGAAGGCTTGGAGTGGCCCCTTATATCGCTGAATACGTCGATTACGTATACCAGGATTGTCAGACGGTCTTACCATCTACGACCGAAGAAATAAAGATCAGTCTGAAGAGAGGCGTGAAGCAAGGCGATCCTCTTAGCCCACTTCTTTGGAACGCAGTCGTCGACCCATTATTGACATACCTCGATCAGCGGGAAGGAAAGGGAATTGTCCTAGGAGGACGCAATGTGTCGGTCCTGGCGTTCGCGGATGATCTGATTCTTATCAGTAAATCTGAAGGGGACGCCGTAGAGGACATCGAACTTGTGTCTGAATATTTCAGCGCCCTAGGCATGAACCTCTCGATAGCCAAGTGTAGCGCGTTCACGGTTAAACCGCTACATAAAACTTGGGCTATCGTGGACCCCAAGCTTAAGATCAAAGATCAGGAAGTCAATTATGTGGACCCAGACGAAGCGATCCGTTACCTCGGTGTCAGTTTCACTCCTTGGAAAGGAGGAATTTCTAGCAAAGACAACGCGAAGGAATTCGTTTCTGCTGCAAAAAGGGCGGCAAGACTTAGTCTCAAGCCCGAACAGAAACTGAAGCTGATATTCGAGTATGTGTATCCCAGATACAGGTACGGAATGGTGCAAAATCCACCTTCCAAGACGGCGTTAGAAGATGCGGACCAACAAATCCGGAACGTTGTTCGTAAAATCTTCCATCTGCCAGAAAGTACCACTATGTATCTACTATATACGCGCAAGAAGGAAGGTGGCCTAGGCGTGACCCGGATGACAACTGATATTCAGCTTGCTGTAATCAAGTCCGTCGTGAGGATGAGGCAGTCTACAGACCCCGTAGTCCGAAACGTCGGAATGTCATCTGTGCGGTCCGCGGAGGCGGAAAAAGCAGCTAAACTGCTACGAATCCAGATGCCGACCTCCACAGAAGCCGTCGCAAAACTGAAGCGAAGCGCCATTGACAAGGAGTATTCCTCCTGGAAAGGGCTACCGTGCCAGGGCGATGGAGTCGAGGAGTTTAAAGATAGGCTATCCAATGAGTGGTTGACCAGGAACGATCTTCTATCTAGCGGTAGGATGATCGATGCCCTACGCATGCGTACCAATACG